GACCCCAGAGACACTCATGTCTTTGGCCATGGAAAAACAAACAAGTTTGGAACCACAGCTGTGGCCTCATCCAACAACTGGAACAAACTGAACCTTTACACCTCTCTTTTAGCCACTTCACACTGTGCCAGAGTGAACTCCTGCACAGCCTTTTCTCTGGGCAAACAGAACTCTTTTCCCCATCCAAAACCCACACAACAGGAAAGTTAAATCTGCAGACACACACCAGTACAAGAAAAGTTGCACACACAACTCCTTAGATCCCAAGCATCACTAAAAGATTATTCTGCTCATTCCAATAATTTGAATAACTTTAAAATGTTATACAGAACAAAAGCAATCAGAAGCTCAGTTAAAAACCCAGTCATCCCAGTAGCAGCTCAAAGGGATCATCACACATGGGTTCTTTGAAAGCTCTACCACTCATAATGTAGGATGTGCTGAACCCAAAACTTGGCCATTTGAGTCCAAACCATCCAATATCAAAAAATAAGACTCTTTCTGACTTATTTTCATAAGGTATAGTTTCAACCCTGGGAATCAGCAAAACACAGGCCATGTCTCCACCAGCACCTCCTCACACACAACACACACAACTCTCCTCAAACTCTTCACAGCTCTCAGGGTTATCTGAGATCTTCAAAACTGACAGAAAGACCTTCCCAAAAAAAAGAAACGTTGCTCAGACAATGTCTCCTTACTATGGATAATATTTGACTTCTCACCCTTGGCATGTCACAAGCAAGAGCATTTCTTACAGTGACAGCTGAAAGAAACATGTCTCTGAAAGTCTCTTTCCAGCTGTAAACAGAAAGGCACCTACAGAACAGGCAGGCAAATAGAACAGATCTCATCGTCCACACACTATCAGAGAGAAAGAACCATCTTCAGGCCATCAAAGAGCAAAGCCCGAAATAAACAGCTGCAGAAAGGAAGAGATCACAACACACTATTCCCACTTATGTAACTAAGACTAGGCAACAATTCCAGTGTTTAGTAAGCAGTGAACACACAGCTTGCTTTCCCCAAAGCTCCTTTCCACATGACCTTTGTCATAACTACATAATTAAACTGTGCAGTTACACAATTAGGACAACATGTAAACACATACAAAGAACTTCCCAGGGCTGGAATAACACGTCTTCCAGCCAAACAGTTTGAGAAGGAAAACTTCACATTGCATGATCCTAGAGGTGGGTAAAGAATAAGAAAACAAGAAAAGCATTCCCTTGTGTCCTTCAACAGACCCTCCTGCACAGCTCCCAGGACTGGAATCTCCAAGCCTTCTCAACATCCAGGGTGCTCATGGACCCATCTACTTTACAAGCACATGGTACATAAAGCCCAGTTCCCCAGATCATTTCTCTTCACATCACTATCACACAGGTATCTTTATATATCTGAATAAAAGAAGATCCGTTTGTCTGCTCACTGATTTTCTGTGAGGAAACCTTAAAGTTCTAAAAAAAAAAAAAAGAGGAGCAGTGCTCCAGTGAATGTATGCAGGCATTCACAGTGGGTCAGTGAAGGTCTGCATAGGGGCAATCACCCTCTCCTTACATCTCCCTCTGCACCTTGAGTCTCTCCCCTCACACTCACACAAGGCTCTTGCCATGACATGTCTTTTATAGCCAAGGCACATCTAGCCCCGTTTCACATGGCTCAGCCTTTAAAGACAAGAAATCAGCAAAACACCCCTGCCATTTCCTCCTGCCATTTCCTCCTCTGTATACAGCACCCACAACTCCTTTTGAGCAGTCACTGCTTTCAACACAATCCTTCATCTTCATAACAGACAGGCATCATCAATGCAACAGTTGCTGCCCGGCCCATTTTTCTACAGGAAACACAAGGAGCAAAGTATGGATGAATGCAAAGACATTCCCTACTGACCTCCATTATGTATCATTGAGACACATGAAGGCTACAAGAGTACAAATTATAAGCAGCAGAGTTACATACGGTAAAGTCAATATTGCAATCTAGAGAACCTCACCCATATCAAGTGCATGTGCCATTGGGAAGACACCTGAACCTGCAAATAACACAAACTACAATTTGCTAATAAGGCAACACACCTGTACAGAAGACCGAGGACTGAAAGGAACACAGGGGTGTTACACGTCAGGGCACAGAAAGCACTTGGTGCATGATGAAAACACGAACCCTCACTCAAACTTCCAGCCACCATCAGCCTCACTACACCTGCCTCCCCAGCAACCTGGAAGACTGAGCAAGGACCCTACATCCACCTCCCACCAGCCAACAGAGTGTCAATGCACGAACCTCTGCCAGATTTGTCAGCAAACTTCCGTACACAGAGAATGAAGTACGGCAGGGAAAGAGCAGCAGAGCCGAAGGAGAAGCTTCGCAGAAAGAGCTTGATCTGAAGAACTCACCGGGAGAGGGGCGGGGTCCGCCTGCTGGGCACCGGCAGGATCCTCGTCTCCGAGCAGCGGCGCGGGCTCGTCGGGCGGCGGCCGGGCCGGCAGGGTGTCGCAGCAGCTGTGGGCCGAGAAGCGGAGGTGGCTCTTGCGCGAGTC